GATAGATGGATAGATAGAGGGATAGATAGATAGATAGATGGATGTATGGATGACAGACAGACAGACAGACAGACAGACAGACAGATATATTCTGTAAGCTGCCCTGAGCCTGCCTTGGCAGGGAGGGCGGAATACAGATTAAACAACTGAAATAAAATAAATAAAAATAAAACTGCTGGAAATTCAGAAATGTGGCACGAAGCCGGAGAATTGAGGCGCTCCTCTCTGCCCCAATCGGTCCACCCCCTGAGAGGCTCGGTTTTTACCGAGCATAGCTGATGCCGATCGGGACAAGCAAGCAGGCCAGTGAATGAAGCGCGATTAAAAGGTGTCTGTGATCAGACTGTCAAGGAACTGGAGAATGAGACGAGCGAAGAAGCTTTAAAAGTGAGTTCCGATCCCCCCCCCACCCTTAGCGGCGTCTGGAGGAATCCCAGACGTAAACGAACTGAACTGTGACTTAAAGAGACGGGGGGGGGGAGAAGAAAAGAAAGCAGGCAGGCAGTCCCATGGGGATCCTGCAGAGGCTGCTATGCCACCGGAGGTAAACCCAAACACAATTCTGCCCTTTAAAATATTATAATCAATAAGGCAAAGGCAAAGGTCTCCCTTGCTCGCAAGCCAGTCAAATCTGACTCTGGGGATGCGGTGCTCGTCTCTGTTTCCAAGCCGAAGAGCCAGCGCTGTCCGAAGACGTTTCCGTGGTCACGTGGCCGGCATGACTAGACGCCGAGGCACACGGAACACCGTCGCCTTCCCACCGGTACCTTGTTTATCTACTTGCAATTTCTTGCTTTCGAACTGCTAGGCTGGCAAGAGCTGGGGCCAGAGACGGAATCTCACTCCGTCACGCGGTGCACTCAGGTCTCAAACTGCCGAGCTGCCAGCCTTCCGGTCTGCAGCTCCTTAACCTCTGAGCCACTCATATATAATGACTAATGCAGAGGCTGGCATCCCTAAGATGGGGCCTGGGAATTAAAACTCATTTCCGGGCGACAGAGATCAGTTCCGCTGGAGAAAAGGACTGCCTTGGAACGGTGGACTCGGTGGGGTTATGCCCCGCGGAGGTCCCGCCCCCTCCTCAAACCCCTCCCCAGGCTCCGCCCCCCCAAATCGCCCAGTATTTCCCAACTCTGAGTTGGCAACCCTGGCTTGCTAAGAACTACAGGTCTGGTCCCCTGCGGGTCATCAGACGCGCAAGGAATCGCAAGCTGGGACTTCTCTCTCCGCCCTGACTTGGACGGCCCAGGCGAGCCGGATCTTGTCAGATCTCGGAAGCTAAGCAGGGTCTGTCCAGGTTGATATTTGGATGGGAGACCACCAGGAAAAACCCAAGGTCGCCACGCAGAAGGACACAATGACCAAACCACCTATGTTTGTCTCTTCCTGGGCTAGAAGAAGAAGAAGAGATTGGATTTATACCCCGCCCTTCACTACCCGAAGGAGTCTCAGAGCGGCTGACAAACTCCTTTCCCTTCCCCTCCCCACAACAGACACCCTGTGAGGTAGGTGGGGCTGAGAGAGCTCTCTCAAGGACAGAAGAAGAAGAAGAGGAGGAGGAGGATATTGGATTTATACCCCATCCTTCACTTGGAGTCTCAGAGTGGCTGACAATCTCCTTTCCCGTCCCCTCCCCACAACAGACACCCTGTGAAGTAAAAGAAGAAGAAGAAGAGATTGGATTTATACCCCGCCCTTCACTACCCAAAGGTGTCTCAGAGCGCCTTACAAACTCCTTTCCCTTCCCCTCCCCACAACAGACACCCTGTGAAGTAAAAGAAGAAGAAGAGATTGGAATTATACCCCGCCTTTCACTACCCAAGGGAGTCTCAGAGCGGCTTGCAATATACTTTCCCTTCCCCTCCCCACAACGGACACCCTGTGAGGTAAAAGAAGAAGAAGAAGAGGAGATTGGATTCTCAAGAACAGCTCTTATCAAAACTACGGTTTGCCCAAGGTCATCCAGGCACTGCAAGTGGAGGAGTGGGGGAATCGAACCCGGTTCTCCCAGATTAGAGTCCGCGCACTTAACCACGACGCCAAAGGAAGAGGAAGAGGAGCTCAATCTCATCGGATTTCAGAAGCGAAGCAGGGCTGCCCCTGGTTAGGACTTGGATGGGAGACCACCAAGGAAGTCCAGGGTTGCAACGCAGAGGCAGGCAATGGCAGACCACCTCTGTTTGTCTCAGACCTGACCCGGATGGCCCGGGCTAGCTCGATCCCACAACGGAAGCCCAGGGTGGCTACGCGGAGGCAGGTCATGGCAAACCACCTCTGAGCGGCCCTGGCCTTGAAAACCCGAAGGGGTCACCATCAATGTTCCCTCTAAGCTGTGAAGTTTTGTGAGCAAAAATCCTACTTTGTGAGCTGCTGGTATGAAAGT